AAGGTCTTTTTCTATTCTTTTCAACCTTTCCTTAATTTGGATAAAAGAAAAGTCGGTGGCGACTCTTGCTTACCGTAACATTTGCGAACACAAATACAAAACCAGTATAAGTAGTTGGTTCTAACACCGTATCACAATTAGGATGGTGGTATAATCAAAAGTTACATGACTGGCGTAATCCTGAACACAAGTAACATATGATATAACCCACTCAGTGGAGGCCTCTTTAAGGGTGGTAATGCTAAACAAGACAATTGTTAAATCATTATTACTTTTGACCTAAGAGCCCGAGAAGCTGAGGACGTAGAACCCTTAACCCATATTGGCCTTTAGGATGTAGTGTGGTGATAATTCAAGAGTAGTTTTGAATTAACCGTTACACAATACTATACTCATACAAGTTTTTCTTGAGAATATTATCGGTACTCACAATTAGTTATGTATATCAGTAATATCCGAAAGAGGAATCACGACTCTGATAACTTTTAGAACCTTGTTGTACATGTATAATAAACTCATAGTACATACCTTATGGTTGGTTCTTATCCATGACCCTATGCTCATGACGTTAAACCCTTAAACCTTGTTTATGACCTTGTTTGTGATAATTGCATAACCATGCACTCATGAAACTCTTTTTTCACTTGGTTTTCAAGGAACTCATAGATTATCGTTGTAAACATCATAAGTTTTGTGATCATAAATATTGGGAAAAGAAACACTAAGAAGCACGATTTCAAGAAACCTTAGTTACAGGAGTTGAGAAAGCTAGGGTATTTGGTATCTAGTCATGAGGATTTCAGAAGACGTTATGGGAGGCTTTTGGGTGTTCTTCAGATCAAGGTTCCAGATAAAATTCTTGAAATTATTGTTATGTCTTGGCCTCGCGTGTTGTTCATGGAGCTAGGAAGAATAAGAGTGTCGGCCGAGACTTCCTCTTGCCGGGAGGTGGTAGATATTTTTTCCAGGTGTGTCCCATTGCGCTGGGTGGCATGTGAGTAAATAAGGCTCTCGTCGGGCGAAGCTTTTAAGCGCCAGGTGAGAGCATCTGAACCATATTTTATAAATAGATTTTCATTTCATTTTTTAGGGTTATGGAGTGTTGGGGTATTTGTTCTCAACTTCATCACCTTTATTCTTTGATAGTTTAGAGTTTATAAAACAACAATGGAGCTTGCATCTAGATGATATGAGGTCGAATATCTCATTGATTAATGTTGACAAACAAAGAAATGTTTGGTTCCTTTTCCTCTCTTCTATTTATAATCTTTATTTGTTGGAGTTTGTATGTATATTTACCTTGATTATATGTATATTTATTGCTCATGGTGTTGTATGAAACTCATTTTACAAATCGATGTTAATGATTGCTTTCTTTATTTGGGTTTAGGTTGTTGCAGAGATGGACAGGTCCAATCCGGATTTAGGATGGACCTTTATTGGGTTTTCAGTTTAGAGATAGATTAAGATTTAGTATTCATTTAAGTATCAAAGCTTAATGTTTTTGTGTTGTTTATGTTGCACTGAGAGATCTTTGACAGTCACACTCAGGTCTATAGCAAAAATTCAAATTTTACTTAGAATAAGTTCACGAAACTTCAGTAAAAAAATGTTCAATAAATAGATATTCTTTAAAAATATATATAATATTCATTTTTAACACACAAAAAAATTTAAAAGAATTAAATAAATATTGTTTAAAAAAAAGTTTATTATGACTATGTTGTGTGGTGTTTATGTTGAATTGGAAAGTTCTATTAATACGTGGCATATCTCATGTCTCAAAATTTTATATAGTGATATTTTGTTGAAAGTGTAATTCCTTATGTTGAAATAGGTTGTTGTTTGGTATAAGGTGTGTTGAATTAGTCTATCGAAGTGTGGAAACAATTTGTTACACACAGATTTGGTTTAAGTCTAAAATAAATAGATTTGATATAGTTTTCAAATATATATTTTTGTCTTTTATAGTTTTGAGCTTTGGATTAGAGAGCAAGCTAACATAAAATTATAAATAGTGAGAGTAATCTCTATTTTTGTAATCAATAAAGTTGTATTCACAAAATTTACAATTGCAAGTGAATAAGAAGTTTTCCACAGTTTGTGGACAGAGAGAAACTCTGCAGAAAATTATCGTCTTTCTTTCATATTGTTATTGTATGGTGATAACAATCTTGTTCATCAAGATTGATAGAAATTCATCATAAGTTTGTGGTGGATTTCCAACATCTGGTATCAAGAACTCTGGTTGAGCGATCAAGAGAAGAAGAAGAAAATCAACGACGATGAATTATGCAAGTGAAAATTTTCCATCAAATCTTCTGATTCTTAAAGGTGATAACTATGAGAATTGGTGCAAACAGATTAATGTTATATTCTGTTTTCAAGGTCTTTAGGAACTTGTAAAATACGGATTAAAACCACTTGATGAAGACGCTTTAGAAAAGGAAGAGACGGAATACAAAGAATTGGAGAAGAAGAATTATAAAGCTCTCTTTATAATTCATCAATGTGTCAGCCTAGATAATTTCGAAAATGTTAGTGATGTAGAATCTACAAAAGAAGCCTGGGAGATTCTTAAGAAATCTTTTGAAGATGCAGAAAATATGAAAGAAGTGAGGTTACAAACTCACAAAAGAATGTATGAATTTTTTCATATGGAAGATAGCGAAAGCATATCTAATTTATTCACTAGGGTTACAAAAATAGTGAATCAAATCAAGACTTGTAGAGAGACATTAACAACAAGAGCAGTTGTTTCGAAGATCTTGAGATCTTTGACTCCTACGTTCGATCATGTGGTAGTTGCCATAGAAGAATCGAAGAACATGTCAATCTTGTCGAAGGAAGAACTTCAAGGGACGCTTGAATCTCATGAATAAAGAATGGCTGAAAGAGTTACAGGAAAGTCGAAAAGTGACGTGGCTCTGTAGGCTCAATCAACAAAAGATAAGAAAAGCAAAGGAAAGTGGTTCGATAATAAAGGTATATGAGGCTACAATAATTCGACTGGTAGATGAAACCAGCACGAAGAAAACGTGTCAAATCAGAAAAGACCATACCAAGGTAACCAAAGATGTGGTGTTACAAATAAAGGAAGAGGTGGTGATCGAAAACCTGACAAGAGTCGCATTCAATGTTACAATTGTCAAAAATATAGTCACTATTCCAGTGATTGTCCAAAAAAGCAAAAGAATCAAGAAAGTGATGTGAAGTTCGCAAAGTATGAAGAAGAAGAGATGTTGCCGATGGTTACAACAAGGGATGAAGGAAAATTCAAGGACCAATGGTACTTAGATTCAGGATGCTCATCACATATGTCTGGAAGGAAATATTGGTTTGTCAACATAAAACCTTCGATGAAGAACATGGTAACATTTGCAAATGACAATACCCTAATAGCTAAAGGTATTGACGATGTTATGATTATGAGAAAAGATGGGAAGAGGTCAGTAATCTCTAATTTGTTGTACATACAGGTATAAAGAGCAATTTGTTCAGTATAGGGCATTTGGTTGAAAAGAATTATAAAGTTCTGGTTGAAGACAAGATGATGAGAGTCGTCGACACAAATGGAAGGTTAATCTTGAAGGCTCTCATGTCTCAAAACAGAACCTTCAAGATTGAACTTAATGTGATGGAGCACAACTGTCTTTCGACTGCAGCTAGAAGAGATGAATGAATATGGAACTATTGACTAGGCCATCTCAACTTCAGAGACATCAGAGAGTTGAAAAGAAGAAATATGGTTTCAGGACAACCATAAATCGACATTTCAAACGTGGTGTGTGAAGAATGTGTGCAAGCGAAGCAACACAAGAACAACTCAGCAAGGATGCAGGAAGCAAGTCGAAGACTATTCTTAAAATCATATACTCTAATGTATGTAGATCAATCCAGATGGATTCGATGGGAGGAAACAAATACTTTGTTACATTCATAGATGATTTCAGTCGTAAACTGTGGACTTACCTTATCAGGAAGAAAAGTGAAGTGATCGAGGTATTTTCCAAGTTTAAGTATATGGTAGAAAGACAAAATGGTCGAAAGCTCAAAGTTTTGAGAACTGATGGTGGTGGAGAGTATGTGCCGAAAGACTTCGACAAATTATGTGAAAAAGAAGGAATTATACATGAGGTGGTGCCACCCTACACTCCACAGTAGAAAGGAACCAATAGTGGCGTTATCGTCGTGTGAAGTAGAGTACATATATGCTTCTCTTTGTGCATGTCAAGCAGCATGGATGATGAACTTGGTCAAAGAAATCACAGGGAAAGATCATTAAGCAATTACCATGAAGATCGTCAGCATGTCAGCTATCAACCTGGCGAAGGATTCGATAGCACATGGCCGAAGCAAGCACATTGAAATGAGGTTCCACTATCTTCGAGAGCAGGTAGCAGAAGGGAAGATGAAGATGAAACACTGCAGAACTGAGAACCAGATTACAAACATCATGACAAAAGTGTGCATGTCGAAGTATTCAAAAGACTAAGAGATATGATGAATATAGATAGCTTTAACACAATGAATTAGCTTAGACACAATGAAAAGTGTTAAAAGTATATTAAAAGTGTTAAAAAGTGTCGATGATAAAAATTTATCATAAGTTTGTGATGGATTTTTAACATATTTAAGAAATACACCGTTAACAAAATGGTCTTTTAACTAATTGACGAAACTATTTCCTTTGTATGGTTTATTAGAAAGAGTACCATTTGAGACGAGGTAATTTTAAGAAACGTGGAGAAAAACTTTGACTGATCTTTCATTCAAATTCTTCGATAAAATAAACCCTCCAATCCAAGCAAGATATTTATACACTGTGTGCTTGCAAATGTGCCAAGTCAATAGGCAATAGCCAACAGTCCAACTATACCGTTTGGTTATTCCCCAAACAAATTGGCACCAAAACCATTTTCCATTTCCCCAAACAATCCCTTCAAAACACACTCAAAATTCTCACTTTCACTTCACCTCCCAATTCCAAGGTCACAGCCATGGCTGCATCAGGAACTCTAACTCTCTCTCAATTCTCACTTCACAAACCTCTTTCATTCCCCATAACCAAACCACCAACATCCAGAATCTGCATTAGAGCCATGTCAGGAGAAAACTCTTCACCTTCCGTCACCACACAACAACAACCACCCTCATCACTCTCAATATCTCCTCCTCCCAATTTCAAACCTCCACAACCTAAACGCTTTATAATTAGACCTGACAAGAGGCTTGAAATCCTCGGAGCTTCGCTTTCCTTGTTCTTTCGCCTTGCCACCGGAGTTTTTGCCTCTGGGTAACGTGATTTACGCTTTTGATTTTTCTCACACTGGAAACTCAATGTTAATTCTTTTACGCTTGTTCTTGTGTGTTTCTAGGTATTCTTTCTCGTTTGTTTCACAGGATCAAGTTCCATCGGATGAATACGCTTTCAGACTTTCCGGTAGTTCCTGCATTCTTTTGTTTTAATGCTCATTGCTCAATGCTCATTATTGCATAGTAGCTTTTTATTTTTAACATCAAATATTAGTATTACTTAACGGTAATATCAATTCAATTCAATAAAGTAACCTTGCTATTCTTGAAAATTTAAGGGTAATATTATATACAATTTGGATTTTCTTTAAATGCGTATCTCATATGCAAAATACTTTTGCTCTACATGTCAAAATTTTCTTTTCTTCCTCTGTATTTTTTATTTTCATTCTTGTTCTTGTTTCAGGCATTACAGTAAAAGAAACATCAAAGTTAGGTGCTCGACCAGAGAAGCCCATTGAAATATATGAATTCGAAAGGTATTTTCATACTTCTCTCTGGATATTTTTCTTTTGTAATTTTGCATAACACCTTTTTACATGCCACTCTAAGGATTAAAGAATATACTAATTTGGTATGCTGTTGTTCTTTTCTTTAATTATGTTCTCCGTGGATCGTGTTCAGCTGCCCATTTTGTCGGAAGGTATGGATTACAGTTTTGTAGGATTGATGTTTTCTTTTGAAGGCATTCTTTTTTTGTTGTAGATTAATATTTTGACTGTATACAGGTTAGAGAAATAGTTGCTGTTTTGGACCTTGATGTTCTTTTCTATCCTTGCCCGAGAAACAGCCCAAATTTCCGTCCGAAGGTTGTTCAGATGGGTGGTAAACAGCAGTTCCCTTACATGGTAAGATTGACTCCTTAAAACAAACAACAACAGCAAAACAAAATTGGTAGTTTCTTGTTATGATTTTCTGTATATCTTAAAAAGGATGGGATAAAAGTCACTAACCTGAACTGCTTCAATTAAATTAATGCAAAAACTATTTGGTAGCTGTTCATGAATCCATTTGCATCTTAAATCGTCAACTTGAGCAAATTGGCCCAGAAGTTTTGAATTTGAAAGAAAAATGCAACCTAGAATGGCGTGCTAAAATTTTAGCTCTCGTAGATTTGGAATAGAGCTAGACTGCTGAAATTTTCTTATATATAAACTATACTTTTTTGTATTGTGTACATATATATATATATATATATATATATATATATATATATATATATATATATATATATATATATATATATATATATATATATATATATATATATATATATATATATATATATATATATACACATCTTTTGATAAGAATTTTCTTGTTTCAGGTTGACCCAAACACTGGTGTTTCGATGTATGAATCGGATGAAATAATTCGGTATTTGGTTGGCACATATGGTTAGTTTCTTTATATGTAGTATATCTGTCCTTTTTGTTGCGTTTTGTATTGTTGTTTTTCTGATTGCAATGACACGTGTTGGATTTTTGACTTAATCCTACAAAATCGGTTTGCAACGTGAGGGGTTATAAATGATTAGCTTTATAAACTATAAGCTCTTTTTAGGTCATAATATTTCAAAATTTTGATAGTAGGGGTTAAGAATTAGTTTCCAGTAATGCTGAGAATTGTAAAGGGAAAGTAGGTGATTGCTCTTATGAGGCTTTTTTGTGATCACTTTAAATTAGACTATAGTGCAGTGTATGTTAATTTCTTAAGAAAAGGGAATGCAGAGATCATTTTGTTACATCGCAGCATGTAGCGCATATATGTTTAAGCATCGAAACATTGTGCAAATAATACATCATTTTGAAGAGGATTAGTAATCCTTATAGGATCCAGCAAATTTTGAACTCAACCAAAATTATCCCAGTGTGAGTGTTGACCATTCGTTATCTGTTCTGTAGGTGATGGAAACATTCCTCTCACTTTATCACTCGGATTTTTAACGGTTAGAACTTGACATTGCTATCATTGACTGTATCACCATGAAGTTGAATTGTATCATTGATGTTAACAACCAAACACTATTTTTCTGCAGTCATTGACTTGTGGTCTTGCTATGCTTAGTCGCATTACAAAGGTAATGTCTGATATATTTTCACTTGTTATGTAAAGAAAGTAACTATTATACATTAATTTCGATTTTTGGTAGTCATTGAGATTTAACATACAAAGGATACTAATATAATTATTCATTTTATATTTCAGGGAACAACATATACTCCAGCAAAATTACCACCAAAGCCACTTAAGTTATGGGCGTATGAGGTTGGTCCGCAACATGCAAGTCTCTATATAGAGCCTAACAAACTATTACTAGTAACTGACTAACTAACTATATTTCTAATATCTTTTGTTCAGGGGTCTCCTTTCTGCAAAATCGTACGGGAAGTTCTTGTCGAATTGGAGCTGCCACATTTGCTTATCAAGTAAATTCCTTACTTTTCTACTAACCATATGATTTTAATGCATATATCACCCACTTCTGTTTTTTTTCTACTGACTTAAATATTTTCAATTTAGCTGTGCTAGGGGTAGTCCGAAAAGAAACATACTATATCAGAAAAAGGGACATTTCCAGGTAATTTGTTAATTCACATTCTTAACAAGCTTCATGCATGATTTTTGGTTGAATGGATGATGTTAGTTCTGATGGTTATGGTTCACAGGTACCTTTTTTGGAAGATCCAAACACTGGAATAGAAATGTTTGAGAGTGCGGAAATTATAGAGTACATTAGAGCAACTTACACTCTTTAGGGATTGATGCCTTTGCAGCCAAGCCAATATCACTTTCATCAATAATTTTTTCTTACATCTTGGATCAATGATTTTGGCGAGGCTTCTTGTAAAATCTAAATTGGTGTTACTATAGAAGAAAAATGAAATAGTGGATTTAGGTGCTTCAACATTGAAGTTATACAATGGTTTGAGTTGAGGTGATTAAAACTGAGTTACAAAATAAAAGTATATGTATATTTCAGTCTTCATTGTTGTCTTGCAAGGCCATTTACTATACTGTCTCTCAAGTTGATATAGGCATGTTTATGTGTCTTTTCTTTGAAAATATGAAAATGTGGGGCTCTTGCCTCTTAGGATAAGAAGTCGAGTCTTAACTTTTTACCATTGAAAATATTACTACTTATTAATGGGGATGATACATTGTCTAATATATAGTGGATAAAATATTCGTAATAAATAAATAATGTAAAAACTTAAAAAAAATGGATACGAGCATATACATATATAATTACATATTAAAATAAGTGCGTATTAGTGCATGTACAGATAATTTAATATTCATTCTACTCCAAATTCATACAATAATATATGATTTGATTTATTATAAATTTAAATTTAAATTTCTTTAAGTCTGATTTGATTTTCACAATTGTCCAACAAATCGTATAATCATATTGTTAAATCAATAATAATAAAACTTGATCCAATATTTGATTAGAGAATCTTCTAAAATCCAACAGCAAAGCTCTGATGCACAAGATCCAAATATCGTAGCAACATACTGAGACATCATGTCAGCATGTCTCCCTTCTACACCTTCATACAACTTAAGCAAGCTAAATTAACTTGAACACTTGGAACACTTCTCTATGTTGTTTCGCAAAATTCAGTCAATCCAAATGACAAAGTCACAAAGAACCTCAATTCCCTATTTTTTCATAAATAAAAAATAAATGAGGTCACCAATATTTTTCACAATGTCATTGGATCCTTCCCTATTTTTCCAGAATTTAAAAATGCATAAAAGTATTTTTAAACATTTAAAACAATTTAAATAAAGTGAAAATTTATTAAAAAAAAAGAAAAACACAAAATAAAAATGTGAAAAAAATAAAAATCATAAAGAGAAAAATCAAATGTATTTCCCATAATTTTTTTCAGATTTTTTGAAGTTAAAATGAATTTTTTTATAAATTTTTGAAGTTTAAAACAATTAAATATAAAAAATCAGAAATAAAATAATAAACCAAAAAAATATGGGCCACCTAATCATTGTCAAAACGTGTTAGTAAATAGATCCGGTGGATCTGGCGCGCTGTACATGTCATGGACTTTATTGGATATCACACCTGACCATTTATTTTTAAAATAAAACAACTTAAAATATGGCATGTTGGATGGAGTCTGACTCACTAAAGTAATCAGATCCAAGGGCTCCTAAAGCACGCGCATGGTAAGGCAAGCTGTGATACGGTGGCATAACCGACTATTTTTACTAGTTTGCGTTTTGTGTTTTTTGTTTGCAAAATGTCGCGGTAAGCAAGAGTCGGCACCGACTTTTATTTTATCCAATCAGGAAAAGGAAAAGAACAAAAAAAACTTTTTTCGAGATGTTTATGAGTACGGAGGGTAGATTATAGAAAAGGAATGTGTTAGCACCTTTTCTATCCGTGGTTTTCCACGGGCTCTTAGGTACTTGCTCATTTTTAAATTGCTTGTGTGTGCTTTGTTTTGAAAAGTTTTGTTTACTTCGTTTTAACCCTTGTTTCTGTCCTTAAGAGTGTTACGAAGTTGTTTTTGAAAACTGTTTGAAAGTGTTTGTGTGAAAATTTTTTGTTTGTTTGAGCAAGTATTTAAGAGTTTTCTACCTACTCGAAAAAGACTGTTCATTTTCCTTTTAGACAATGTTATCCCATTATTGAAGGAATAGGTAGCATCGCCGTTGGAGTTTCAAGGGACAAGGGACGTTATGGTCATTGAAGGCAACATGTAAGGATACCTTAGCATTTTGAAGAGACGATCATCATATATTCATAGACAACATCGAGGGACCAGATCATTTCTCGTAGGCAACTCGAGGGACAGTAAGGGACCATGATCTTTTATGATGACTTTCATACCGAGGGTCTTTGCTAAGGGTATCCCTATGTTCGAGGGACATGACCATTATTTCCGAGGCAACCAAGTGAGGCAAACCCTAGGAGTGAGCATGTGCATGTGTTTGATTTCAGTTATTTAATCTTTGCACAATTAAGGTGATCTACTGTTTTAATTTTATTTGTCTTTTGCATGCAAGCCTATTATCCATACATCTAGACAGTTCATAGTTGCGGAAATTAAAAGCGGAAAAGTAAATCTACGCTATTACAAGGCTTCGGGGAGGGTTTACATGACCAAAAACTGGGGATTAAACAGTAAATAATATGCGGTAAACTCTAATTAAAAACTATTACAAACCCGAAGCAAATACAATATTTGGAAAATAAAATATTCCGCGTGAGAATTAAGTACGGGAATCAAAGTTTAAATTCTAAAATCTAATCAATTAAAGAGAAAATATTTTTTTGTATTTTATTATTGAGAAAAATATTTGAAATCTTAACCTAAATCTAATTAATTAAAGAAAAATATTTTTTGGTATTTTATTGAGAAAATTAAATATTTGTGAATTAAACCTAATTTGTCTAATTAATTTTAATTATGAAAACAATCAACTCAATATCATTAAATTAATTATTTTCCAAAAGAACTAATTTTAATTAAAAAAACCTAATTCTACATTTTTGTGGTTTTCTTGATTTTATGATTAAATAAAAAAATGATTTTTTTTTGTTTTGTAAAAAAAGAAATTAATCAAATAAAACAAAAGAAAATAAAGAAAGAAAGTAATTGGGCCTGTGGTGAAAGCAAATTGGGGGTGTGAAGCTGAATTTCATTGAGCCCAAATCCTTTGACCCAATCAGGCGTTTGGATCCAGTGATGGCCACGTTTGAGGGTCCATCATGGTCTGCATGTGTTGAGTGTTAGACTTGGATATGATAAAATCTTGTCGTATGGTGATTGAAGTGCATGAGGAGCGCGCAGGGACCTGGAGCATTGGATCTGAAGACACAAATTAGTGAAAATTAACCTTGCAAAATTCAAAAACGCAACACAAGCAGAATAAATTCAAACCAAAGGCATAGATCAATTGTAAATCATCTCCTGAGCATGATAGTACCCCTAATTTTATTCAATTTTGGGGACCTCAAAACCCTAACAATGGCATCGTGCCATTCCTGCACTTAAACATCAATCAAACCAATAAAAAACATTGCAAATATGATAGCAAGCATGAATATATGATCAAAACATGTTTATGATGGATAAATCATTGAAAACGAATCTTGAAAAAAATGTAAATCCTGGCACTGTGAGGCGTGATTTCTGAAAGTTTTAAGGCTGGAGGACGATTGGAATAGCTTCAAGAAATGTCCAGGAACTGATTGCTGGCCTTGGAATTACTGGAAACGGCCTATGGAATCAAAACCGACCTGCACTTTTTTGACAAAAAAATGAGTTTTCTTGATGACTTTCACGACCTCAATCCGTGTTTTTGTGCATTGGATATGTTCTGTATATGTAATGGAATACATTAGGTCAACAAAAAAGAGCTAAATCTTAGTCCATTATGAAGATTTAATTTGGTCTTTATCCTTGTATGATATCTTTCTATATCAAGCCAAATCATGCCAATTTTGGTTCAATTTGTTTTGCACGTTTTAGATATGATTTGTCAGCCTAATTGGATTTGATTCTACCCAAAATCTGATCACAAAACAAATCTTTGATATTTTTTGCTATTTATTTGATTTAATTTGACTTTTAAATGATAAAAATCAAAATAAAATAAATAAATAAAGCAAAAGATGTGTGGGTGTTGATTTGGAGCGTGGACCATGTCATAAGCAAGATTCAATCATGAAAAACTAGACCCATTTGACAAAAAATGTATTTTTGAGCACATTTGACTTTTGGCAATTTTGCAAAAATGGTCAACTTTGACAAGGCACATCTCTTCCAATTTTAACCCTAGAAAGGTGTTGTTTGACTTTTTAGAAAGCTTAGTATGTCCCCTAAGAAACCCTTTTGGTCTTATCTCAATTGGACCTTCCATGTTCATGTAAGAAGCTTTGACCCAAAAAGTGTTTTTATTAACTTTTCAAGAGGACCTATAATGTGGAAATTCATATATTTTGGTGAGTGCATATTTTGAACTTGTGGGATGAATATGTGTTGTAGGGAATTACATCCTCTTCAAAATGAGCTTTAGATGGAAACTTTATGATAAAGTATGAGGAAGTTATGCTTGGTCAAAGTTTGGTTGACTTTTCCTATGAAACCCTAATTTAGCAACTTTTAGGTTTTGATGAATTTGGGTGCACTCCTTGAGGAATCATGATCAACCCTTGATCAAATGATGGATATCTCTTTTATGTGGGCCATAGTTGACTTTTGACCTAGTATAATTGATTTTCAGGCATCTAGGCAATTGACTGAGCAAACTTCTTGTGTAAGGCATGAAACTTGACATGGATGATCTTGAGAACATATTAGGACCATGAAAAGCATTTGGGACCTTTGGAGTTCTCACACCCTGATAAGAATGGAAACCCTAGTTGGAGGTACATTGCCTTAGGAGAGAGTTTGTATGGTCAACTCTTGGGCATCCTTGAGCAAGTTGAGGACTTCAATGGGCATGTGTTGAATAAAATTAAAGGACAAATTTTGGGGTACAATAACTTCCCCTATTCAATCTTCTTAAACCTGAGGATGTAGATTGGTTGTCTGCCTTTCGTAATCTGAATGTGGAAGATGATTGAACACTAGAGTGCCCAGAAATTTACACTCTTCTGAGATGGTGCTTGACTGTGTAGGTAGTATCGGGAATGGGCTTACAGATGCCATTTGGAAAAGATGACGGAAGATCGCCAAAGATGGGCTTGAAGATGCCATCTAGAGGATTGTTGATTTCCCGA